GACAGAGCTTTCTGTGCACATCTGGGAACTCAGCACCTCCGGACTGATAAACCCGGCAGCTCCAAGTGCTGGGGACTGAATACAGCCGACTGTGGTGATGGAGAGCATGTCTGTGCACGGCGACGCTGGCCAGTTCCTCCCGAGAACACATACTGCAGCTGCTGCCCAGCCACGAAGTGCTGGCACAGGCTGGGTGCAGCCGCAAAGCAGCCCCTCTGCCTCCGTTAGTTGTGTCCCTGAGGGCATGGGCCACCAGGGAGTCTACTCAGACCCCATCTGGGTATCCCTACAATGGCGGAGTCTGCCAACATGTCCCCCGCTGGTTTCACACTTGAAAATGTCCCAAGAGGAGAGGGGTGGCTTTAATCTCATCTAAGGGAACCCCCATCCCCACCCCCTGCGCTGTTTGTGTGCAGGTGGAATTTACCAGGGAGGGAACTGAGACTTTTCACAAAACAGAGTGTGATCACTACACAATGCGATATGAATATTTGAGAAACTTTTCCTATGAAAAATAGATACTTTAAACACACACCCCCAGCCACACATACACATTGTTTTTACGAGAACCAATTAATAAATGCTAATTCATTCAGGCATATCTCCACTAAATTACTGTTTCATTTAATTGCAGGGGAATTTTCCATTACTAAACTCTCCCTTGCTGATTTTTCTTTTTGCATTATTTATATATTTTCACTTGCACTAATAGTGAGGTTGGTATGTGATATTATCTGCTGTTTGTGCGTCTTAAATTTCTTTATCTAAAGTGTTTCCTCATTCTTGCAGCCCCACGTAATCTGGGAGAGACACCATTAAAGGCAGGCAAGACTTTGCACATAAATGATCTAAAAGGGCACCGGCCACGATCAGCCCGCCGGTGGGCACACTGTCTGATTGTGCCCTTGTTCTAGACGTGCACGCGTGTGCGAGTGTGTCTCCACTCTGGGCTCGTGAGCTCATGTTTTCCTGTCAGCGAGTCACAAGTTTATCTGTGGAAAGACTGTGGGTACACAGCCTGGAGTGAAGATCCCGGGGTGGGGGGAGGGGTGGGCGGTGCTTTAATGACAAAATAAACAACACGAATCTCTTCATGAACCCCCAGAGCTCAGCACATAGTTTCCTGCTCCTGTTTCATGGACACAAATCAAGATGTCGACATCTAGACACCTGAGCTCCAGACCAGCTGGCTCCCGAAGAGCCTGCCTCTTTCCTCTTTTATGCCCAGAAAAGTAGGGGTTCTGGTGGTGGTCAGGGATTGCTTGGGGCCCTTGGTGGGAATTGCGTCCAAACGGATGTGTTTTGAAGTAGAGCGATGTGCTGATAGTAAACGGCCAGAGTTCCACGCACTGGCTACCTTCGCTTATGAAATAAGTTCTTTCATTTTTATTCTCCAGCCACCTTCGCCCCAGACACCCCTACATTGTCTCCTTTCAGCGTCTTTTTCTCTGTATTCTTCCCCTACTTTCTCTTTCCTGGTAACTCATTCTGGAGGATGTGAATGATTAAACTGTTTACTCCGAGTTTAGGTATGAAAAGGCATGTCACCATAAGTAAAGTTTCACCTTTATACCCAACTCTATCAATAATTAGAGAACAAGGATGACTGTTAGTAAATCTTTCTTACAGTTAGCTTTTACAAAAGGGATACCATTTATTCTGAGCATTCGGAGTTCTATTAGTTTTACTTTCCACAAAAATTAGTTACAAAACAGAGTAACCTCCAAAATGAAGTCTGCTTACAAGAGTTGAGAGCCCTGTGTATGCATGGGAAGTGTATACCTAGAGACCGTGTACCCCATTAAAAGCCAAGATTTGAGCCCATGAACACAAAGTTTTGTCATATGAATATATTAGGAGATGCTCATTTTTGAACAAAAATATCTAATAATTAAAATTCCATGAGATTGATTTTTGTGCTGTGTTCCTTCGCTTCCTTTGTCCTCTTTGGCAAAATTAGGGAGAGTCAGTTTTGGGTATAGACGGATAAAATTAATTAACTTTTCTTCCATTCCCAAAAAGTCCCCAATAAATGCTTCCAATAGACATCAAAAAAGTGTCAATTAGAAATAATTACTTCTTATCAATCAGTGGGGCAATTAAAGTGACAAAGCTTGAAAAGATACTTATCTTAAAACTAATTCACAAGCTAGCTAAATTATCTCCTAATTAACTAGCACTGAGAAGGGGGGAGGGTGGACCATCTTGAAACAAAGATGGATTGAGAAACCCGAATAACTCTTTCTCCTCCTCTGGACAGGTTACCATCCCGGAGAGACCTTATTTTCAACCTAGGCAAGAAACCTGGAAGAAAACGCACCTGCCGCAAATTCATGTGGCCCCTTTCATCCTCTCTACGACCCAGAGGGGGGCACAGGGCCTCACCTCCCAGATGTGGGAAATTACAGGCACTCTCCCCCCGCCATCTGAAGTCTCCTTTTACCACTTGAATAACCAACTTTTGACTTTCCGGAGCTGGACTTGTGGCAAGTTATCGCACAAACTTTTAATAACACCCTGCTTGCTTTACTAAACTCATCTGCACTGAAAGCGTATTGTTTACATTTTCATATTTATGTGGCGTTTCTCATTCCTCAAGCATCTTTGAATACTTAAAACATGTTTTTGCTTTAGAAGGTCTGTCCCCCGATGCTACAAAATTCTCAGTGGGTTTTACAAACCGCTCAGATCATAGCTAACCAGCGCACACCAGAATAATTCGTCATTGGCTCTCCACATCCCTTCAGAATAAAGATGGAGAAAATGTATATGTTATGACCTCTCTGCAGAGCAAGACCAGCTGAGAGCAAGCCGCTGGTGGGCCAGCAGCAGACCAGCGGCAGGCAGAGGCAGGGAACACTCCGAGTAAGCTCACTCGGTCTTGCAAACAGCCCACCCCGCTCCTGCGAACAGCCTGCTCCCTGCCCCAGGGGACACTAGGAGCGGGGGTCTGCAGGCGAAGCCCCTAAGAAATGAAAGTGCTGCTAACACCTCAGAGAGGAATGGCATTACAAAACCGGGAGGGGCTGGGTTAAGGATTAGGGTGCGAATACAGGCAGCAGCACCAAGTTAACTGGGAACAGGGGCAGCCTTGAACCCTCAGAGCTGCCTTCTAGGCGATTCTCTTCTGTCCATTAGCATTAAATTAAACCAGAGAGAATCTCATCCTCCCTTCCGCTCAGCCTCCTTTCTTTCTTTGTTTTGGGGAGGGGCAAAGACCCCCTGGACTGAAAATGCCTCTGTCCTGGGCTGCGGGGGTGCACTGCTCCCCACAAACCAAGGGCGGTTTGCATCCGAGTCCACGGGAAAACACGCAGAGTCTGGGCCTCTTGTTGATTAAAAATAACGATAAATTGTGTCCTTTATCCTTCCCTTCGTTTATTCCCATTTGTTATAATGAGCGCTTCTAGAATGAAAATAAGTAGAGAAAACAAAATCAAGCCAGCAGGAGGGACCGCGACTTCCGCTTATATCTCAAAGGGTCAGGTCCACCGCGGTAAATTCGGGTCCTGAGAGCACCCACTCCTACTACCATTAGAAAGGTCAGGGGAAGGTAGCGGGGAGACAGACCAACCGGGGTTGCAGTGAAGGCACCGCCAGCCCCGGTAGAGATCCGGCACCCAGCGCGCTCGGCCTTGAAGACCGGCCCTGCTCTTGGGGCGGTATTGTACCGGATTTGGCCACAGACTGAGCGGGCGAAACCCTCGTCCTGGCCTCAGACGGTGGTCCAGGAGCGCCCGTGGCGCCCGGGCGCAGCTGGGCAAGGAGTGCAGGGCAGCTCCGCCGCTCCGTCCCTTGGCTCCGCGAAGGGCCGCAAGGTTCCCACGCCGCGCCCTCAGAGGGCCAGCAGTCGGGGGCGGACTGCTGAGCCCGTCTCAGCCCCGGAGCAAACCCTCTGGCGCCTCGGGCTCCCCGCGCCCCTCACTGTGGCGCCTCCGCCCCCGGACCCGAAGCTGCGCGCGAAGCTGGACCGCGGCGCTCTGGCGGAATAGAGATCTCAGCAGCTTGCCGCGTCGGCCCGACCCTCCTTATTATAACAAATGTCCGGTTTGCCAAGTGGACTTCATGTTTGGCGAGAATTCATCTAAGATATTGATTTCCTCTCACTTTGCCGGCCTCAATCGATAGCACTGCGCCCTGGCCTCATAAATCGCCTTCCCCTCGGCCGGCCCAGCTCCATCTATCACCGCGGCCGGGCCGCGCCTCTGCTGGCTGTCCACACTGGCTGCGCGCCGGTGGCTGTGCCCAGCGCTCCCATCGGCCGGACCCTGGGGCTCCTTCCCAACACAGACCCCATCCCCATCCCCGGCCTGGGTCAGGAGATGGAGAGAGCAGGCGCCCACAGCCAGGACCCCAAACACTTCTGAAGGCTCTGAGCCCCAGCGCCAGCGGGGAGGGGTTTCGGCCCCTCAGGCAGTCTTCGCAGGCTGGATGACCCCCGCGTGACTCCCCGCCTGCCCAGGTTCAGCTAGGAGGGGTCGGAGCTACCGAGCGCACTCAAGCCTCCCAGGCCCGGACCAATGACTCCTTTCCCTTTGGTTTGAGAAGTGCGCGGGGCGCACTGTCCCTCCCGGGGAACTACGGGAGGGCGAGAGCTGAGCGCACCCGGCTGAGGGCTCAGAGGTCGGGGCAGGGGAGCTGCAAGCCCAGCAGGGCGCGGCCCAGGGCCTGAGCGCACAGGATGCCCGCTTCCCTGGGCCATGAAAGCCGCGGCCGGGCGCGAATGCCCCCTTCTGACCCCACAGAAAGCCTCTCACCGCTCCATGTGGCCCACAGACACCAAGGCCTGGGGAGACGGCTCCGCCGGTTGCCGGGGACCTCAGGACCAGAGAGCGGCGAGGCGGTCGCGGCGGAGAGCCAGGCCCGAGGCTCCCCAGCTGCGTCCCCACGCAGGGGGGTCCCGCGAGCCCAGCGCGCACGCCCCCAGCCTCGCCGACCCAAGCAGCGCACGCACGGACGCGCGGCGACGCAGGTCTCGGTCCGGCCACGCGCATCCTTACCGGATCTGATGGAGTTGTGAGGCATCGCCAGGATCACTCGCGGCCCGCTGGGGCTCAGGGCGTTCTCACGCAGGTCCCCTCCGCGCCCTCCGCGCTGCTGCCCTGCAGACCCAGAGGAAGGGGCATGAGACGCATGACTGCTGCCTTAGTGCTCTTCCCAGGCCCTGTCTCCCTGGCTTTCATGGCATGGCAGGAGTCAGAGGGTTTTCGCAAAGTGTGGCCAATCTGAACCTGGCTGAGCACACATATGTAGGTCCGGAGGGTCCAGGACTTGCGATCTGCTGACGAAGCCCCAACTCCAGCCCTGGTGCCCTTTTCCTCTGCCATCCTAGCCTCATCCAGTTTAACTTGGTGGGGAGATAGCTTCCTGGGACCCTCTCCCTTCTGGAGTCACCCCGCTCCCCGAGTCTGCTGCAGCCAGCCCCTGGGTGGCATACCTGGCCCACGGCTGCAGGCCCTCAGTGCCCTAGGTCCTCTGAGAGGGTGCCCTGGGCCTACGTCTCTTCTCCGTCCCAAGTTTGTTCCCATCCACCCGGCATCACAGACCGGTTTTATCCCGCCAGGGCCCTGAGACAAGGGTCTGGAGAGGCTCGCAGCCTGCGGATTGGCTGGCTTGGTGCAGGGGGGTGTGGGAAGGGGAGGATTTTGCAAGGGGGACATGGCTGAGTGGACTCAGGAGTTAGAAACATTCGCTGGAGCTTCTGTTTCCAGCGGGGAGAAGAGAGGAAGGCAGTGAGCCCTAACTGAGCAGGCCTGGACACAGTTGGGGGGTGGGAGACACTGCCTCAGAGCATGGGGATGAGGGTCCCTGCTACTAGAAGTGAGAAGCATGGCCTCTATATGACACCCTCACCTCCTCACTCCTGGTCTGCCCCCTCGGCAAGCGGCCTTTCTTTTTACCAGAGAGACTTTTGTTTTTGTGCCTATCTCTTAAGGTAGAGGCTGCTCGCAGAGCTGTAGGCCGAAGGTCCCACCTTGTCACCACCCCCGAACAGCTTCTAAGCCCACTCTGTCCTCACCACCCGACAAGGGCCACACTCTCCACACTAGGCTGATGACATTGCACAGGACCCCTCTCTCCCAATACACACAGCACCAGCTCTCCTTGTTGCTCCTTGAGGATTTCGAACTTGGGAAGAGAGTTCAGAAGACTGGCAGAGAGGACCTACATTGGACCTCAACGTGGAAGGCTGGAAAGGGACAGGGCTGAACTGGCCTCCGCCTTGTCTGCAGGGGTCACAGCCTCGAGGATGTGGGGGTCGGGGTGTGGGTAAGAGGGTCTCCTCTGTGGGACTGGGGAGCCCTTAGTGGTGGCAAAGCTGCCTCTCTTTACAGGAGGGAAGCAAGGTACGAGGCAGACTGTGTGTACAGGGCAAGGCCCAGTTATCCCCTCAATTTCAGACCAGGTTCCTGGATTCAGGGTTATAGCTGAGAGGACAGTGTGCTGCTCTGGACTAGAGGCCAGAGGTGCTGGAGTGAGTGGAAAGGGAAGGGACAGAGGATACTGGGGTTGTTCAGGGATGTGTGTGTCTGTGTGTATGTGTGTGAGAATACACACAATGTTTCTTAGTTAAAAAAATATTTTAACTCTCAGGTTAATCTACTTCCTCCCCTCCACCCCCACCCTGCCCCTAGACTCTTGTTTTTGAACTGAGCAGAAATTAATCATTTTGGGAAAAGAGCTAAGAGTATGTATGTCTGACAGTGGATCCTCAGCATTTGTGAATGTCTCTAAACAAACAGTAGCTGCTTTATTGTTTTAAATGTTTCTCTAAAATTGTTATTTACAATTGCTCGGTGGTTTCCAGATTTGCAGACACTCCCCCTCTCTGATCAGACCCCAGAGAGAAGCTCCGAGGTGTGCAGGTGAAGCGACCTCAGCATAAGGGTCGTCATCACCTGAGGGGCTGTGGGCTGTTGGGCCTGGGAAAGGCTGCCCTCCCTCCAGGGACCACAGCCCTCACCTAGCAGTTCTGCAGACCTCAGAGGGGCACTTGACGGGGCTGAGGAACCATCAGCTATGAAAGCCACGCACCCATTCTTGCCAACGCTGTCTCCCGCTCACAAAACGAGCCCCTGCCCCCTCCCCATTTTGGTAAAAGTTCTTAAAGGACAAAAGGGCAAGTCATCAAAATGTGCCTGACACATTTGTGAGCTTATTTTTTTAAAAGTCATTTTAACATGAAAACCTAGTGTGCAAAAAACACCTCCATGCACTTTGAGAACACCCCTTGCCCAGACTGCAGGTGACACAGCAGATAGATGGCCAGTTGGTAGCTCTGCAGGGAAGTTCTGGAGCCAAGGGGCCCTCAGGCCTGGGGTGGGAGGTGGGGGGGGGGACACGGAGCTGGTCTCCTGTTCCGGCCTGGGCCTGCATTCCGGTGTCAGTGGGAAGCAGGCTTGGGGTCCCAAGGCCAAGAAAATTTGTTAACAGACCCCCACCCCTTGGAGCCAGCATCCTCCTCAGCAAAATGAAAGAGGTTGAATTATATATTTATGTTTATTTCAAAATGCTTTTTATCGTGGCTTTTTCTCCAACTTAAAAAAAAAAAAAATCTGTGATCCTCTTAGTTAAGTATAAAAATCTCCAGCCTTCCCTGATGTAACTTGAAAATTTGAAATGAATTTAGTGTCATGACTAAGAGCCGACTGTAAGCTCAATGGGAAATTTAGAGCCCCTTCCTCCCCAGCCCTTTTTGGATGTGATGCCCGCCAGCCTTTCATGCCATTATCAACAGGCAACCTGTGGTTTAAGCCCAGTTACAATTTATTTTTTAACTCAGTGTTTTTCCAAAAAAATTAATTAGTTTCCAGTATGAAAATAAATAGAGAAGAGAAAATACCTCTGGCTTGCCTTTAAAAATTGCACCGATCTGGCCACAGATCTGAGCGTTTCTTTGTGGAAATGAGTATTCTTTCAGATTTAACATACATCTCAGGCATTTAATATACATCTCTACCTAAGACTGCTGAGTATTCTGTGATTTTTTAAATTTTAGGTTGATCTGCAGAACTTTCCAAAGATGATCTTTCTTCCCAGGACCCAGTTGAAACCCACTGAGCTGGGGGTAGGGCTGGTCAGGGACAAGGCTGAGGGCATCCTTTTTCTGGGGTGGAGTTTTGGGTGCTGGAACCCAACCGTCCTGGGCAAACAAGGCCAAGCTGAGGAAGCTGGGAAGCTGGTGGCTTGGGGTCTTTTCCAGCAGCTCAGAGTCCACACTGACCACTGGCAGGTGTTTAGTTGTGCAGCTGAAGCCCACCCCCTGGGCTCAGGCTGCTTGGCTCCTTGAACTCCAGCTGGTCCACAGGCCTCTCCCGCTTGCCATGTGCCCCAGGAGGGACTAGGCTTGGGGGAAGGTCCCTGCCACCTCCCACAACTCCTAGGATTAAAGAGCACCTTTGGGAAGGAAACGGCCGCTCCTGTTCCGGGTAGGAGGTAAGCAGTTCTGTGAGCTAAGAGAGTGGGTGCTGTCCTTTCCTGGAACCTCAGTTTCCCCTTCTGTGGGATATGGGTGCAGGTGGGGCATGGGGAGGGGTGGCCCTTCCTAGCTTTGTTGTGAGGAGAATAGAATTGTGGATGTGAAAGCCTTTGAAAGGGCAGCTCTGCACAAAGTTAATTATCAGACAACAAAGGCAGGGCAGGGCTTCCATGAGGGCAGAGTCAAACTCCTCGGAAATTCTGCTGCAGAGGTCGGTTCCTTTAATCCTGTCCCCAAGCACTGTGAGCTTTTCAAGCAGCCACCTGAGCCCCTGGGTGATGGACAGGCGACTTCCTGTTGGCAGGAAAGGGCCATGAGTGTAGGGTGGATGTGAGGGCCGCAGGATGCAGGGGTATCTTTGTGGGACCCAGAGCGAGGGCAGAGGGGGCCCCGGGAAGTCTGCAGAGGCAGAATTGGTCAGGGTGCACCCTCCCCTCACAGACTGCCCAGGTGTGTCGCAACCACTCAGGGCTTCTACCCTGTCCCCACCCCAGGAAATGGCCACTGCCTGCCCCAGGGCCTCCTGGTGGCTGTGCCAGAGAATCAATCATTAATTGCCCTGTGCTCCTCCCCTCCCCTCAGGCTTTCAAAACCCAGAAATAGAAACACAGGTCCTGGCAGGTGAGAGGGAAGGCCCACTGGTTGGGGAAAGTAGTTTGGAAAAAGCCACTGGTGGCGTTTGCCCAGTTGGTTTCGGGTTGGAGGGTGTCTCCCTGCCTGCCTGCAGCCCCTTGATGGAGCCTTGCTGGGGGCAGAGAGGAAGGTGACAAGAAGAGGGAGGGCTGTTGGAGAGAGCTAACACAGGACAGCTTCTTTCTAATAATAAGAGTTTTTCAAGTTACAAATATTAAGCTGGGCCCTTTTGCAGCCTATTTTGCAGGCGAGAAAACAAAGCCTCAGGAAAGTAAGTGCCCACACACAAGGTTCTCGGCTGGTGGGCGGATGACTTGGTGTCCTACTGATCACTGGTGACTCTGGCCTTGCTGTGGATATTGAGACTTCTGCTCTCCCCAGCCTGGTTCCTCTCTCTCCAGCTCTCACCCACTGCCTTCAGGAAGAAGGCTCTGGAACCCAGGGAGTTGCTAGGGTGAGGTCAGGCCCTGTGACTAGAAAACTTTCCTGCCCCAGGAG